CATGTGGTGCTGGAGGATTGAACCGCAGTCCCTGTGCTTTGCCAAGCTTGTTCCAAGTAGGTGCTTTAGACCACTGAGCCATCTCTCCAGCCCCTCTTGTACTGTTCTAATAGCACCTTTTTTTTTTTTTAGTATCAATCATCTTACTTTTATCCCCACATATGGAACCCGTGACTGTGCGCCTTTCTCACTTTCTTGTTGCGGGGACGTAAGACCCAACATCCACAACATAAAAGATAAGAGGTTTGTTGTGGATCATGGTTTTGAAGTTTCAGACTATATGTGGCAGGCTCAGACATGCAAACTGCATGGTGGGAGGACTAGGGCTGGAAAATGACTAGACATTTTAAGCTGGGAAGCAGAGACAGAGTGGAGGAGCAGTGCAGGGAGAGATCTCCCTCTGGTCATGCCTTCAGAGACCTGACTCTTCTAAACAGACTCATTTTAGCTATAAACTCATCAGTGGATGAATCCACTGATCAGTATTTCACCTCAATGTTCTTCTTCTTTTTTTTTTTTTTTTGGCTGAACTGGGGATTGAACTTAGGCCCTGACGCTTGCCAGGGAAGCACTTATTCCACTGAGCCATCTCCCCATATTTTCATTTTTTAAATTATAATGGACTTTGTGGAACAGTTTGTATTAACTAGAGGTAAGTTTTTCAATAAGCTTTGGGCTAAGAAATGTGCCATGGTAGGCATTTGTTGGTTAAATGAGCATTTTTTTTCCTTTGCTAAGATTTAATTTGAAGTGAAGAAAAATAAATCGAAAGATTAGATAGTAACAAGAAATCACAGAAATAAAGACACAATCACATATGTCTGTGCATGGGCCAAAGTTGTTGGAAGCAGGTTAGGAAGGGTCCAGAGAGGCTCAGGGAGCTCTGTGTTGCTGGGGCCAAGGGGGCCAGGGGTGGCAGGGCAGCAGATCCCCTGGGTGCTCTTAGAGTTCTGCCAACCCCATCCTGCCTCTCTGGTGTGGCTGGTGGAAGTCCTCCAAGGGGCAGA